CGAGTTTTTCCCGAATTTCTGTCTTAGGTACTGTTGCTTTCCCAGGGTGAAGGACATCAATGACCATTTGTTTCCTTTGAAGAAGCCGGTTGGTCATGAATTTCCGGGTTCGGATAGTTACTGTGTCATTCATGATGGCAACGGAGCCTCAGACAGCCCGGGAGGAAAAGACTCCTTTTTTCTTTAGACACAAAAACACTCAGACTCAAGCTCTGAACAGGGACCCTTCCTTCCCATTGCGCCGTAGAAAGCGCCCTACACAGCCATTTCTAATGGCAGGATGGGAATCGAACCTTCCAGAGGGAAGTCTGCAGTTGTGACGTCATCGATTGTCTCAAGTTTTCCAAGGATTTTGAGCTTTGGGAAAGGCCTTGGTTCTCGCTGAAGCTGAGTTTTCAGCTGCTCAGTGTGATTTAGGTAGATAGGTGCATCTCTCAAAGTATGCACAAAGTCACCTGGCTTCAGGCCCCGCGACGTGCGCGACAAGTAGGTGAGCCCCGCGTAGCTGGTGAGGCTGCAGGGCACGCCCAGGCCCATGTCCCCTGACCGCTGCTACAGCTGGCAGGACAGCTCCCTATTCACCAGAGCTGGGTGTGGCAGGGAGGCAGCGCCACCAGAGGGAGATCTTTCGGGTTCCAGGAGTACATGATGATCCTTCTATCATCAGGGTTGGTTTTGACAGCGTTGATCATGTTCTGCAGCTGGCCTACTCCTTGACCCGGGCAATCTGAGTCCATGTCTTTGTAGTCAGCCCCGAAATGCCTCCAGGGGAAGCCATAGACGGGGCCCAGGTGCCCCTCCTGGCTGCTAGAACACCCCAGGCTGTCCAGGAAACCCCAGGACCCGCTGGCATCCCAGATCTTCACTCCTTTGGATGACAGCTCTTTGACATTAGTAGATACCTTGATAAACCACAGTGGCTCGTCCAGGACACCCTTCCAGAACACACACTTGGTTGTCAGCAGGGGAAATGCATCTCGCCGGCTGTAGCGCGTCTGCATGGCGAACAGAGACAGTGTGCCTGCCGGTGCCCCTGCGGTCCGTAGTCGTCCTTGCGGAAGCCACCGTGCGGGATGTGCTCCACTTGCCGCAGGTACGGCAGCTCCCTGTGTGACGGGCCGGGCTGCGGGAGCTCAGGCCAGAGGCGGGCATGGTGCGTGGCTCCCACTGATTTTAAATAGTTACTATAATGTTATTCTTTTACATGCCTGGATTTGCAAGCTCAGTTTATATACCAGCCTCTTGGAATCTTCCAACAATTAGAACATAGCCTTATGGATCAAAAATCCAAGTGTGTGTGTGTGTGTGTGTGTATGATAGGTGTAGCAAGCTGTAAAAGTAGTTTTCAACTATGAATTTGTTAAAACAAGCAAAAGCTCTTTCTCTACACAATTAGATGTGGACAATAAATAGCATAATACACACTCCTCAAATGCGAAAGGGCTCCCGTCTGATGCTTCTGTCACTAATCTTCTACCTTCCGGCCTCAGCTTCATTGGTTAAATTCTTCTAGCCCATCATTGCAAGTAGAAGGGCAGACACATTTCCTAGGCCCTTGTGCCTTAAGCAGGGTCCACGGGCTGCAGGGCCAGCTTGGCCTGGAGCATGTTAGAAAGGCTTCATTCGTCATGGGCTTCACACCTGACCTGTGGCAGTCACAGTCTGAGTTTCTGAGACACCTGAGGGTTATTCCCCGGAACTTGGACTAACTCCGCATCCATTCAGTGTCAAGTGCAGTCCTTAGCATCTGCACAACCATATTTCTTTTTGCGTCTGCTGAATGGAGAGGCATTTCATTCTCAAGGGATGGAGGCGAGGCGGGGCTTCAGCTCTGGTTTCCCGAGTCCTTCCTCCCCACCAGAATGAGGAAGTGATTCTCAAAGGGGGAGAGAAGCGGGCACTTCCCTCTGGTTTCCAGTTCTGCCTTGCCGGAAGGAACCTTGTGGTTGCTGACAGTGATGAACTCGAGGCTAGTAAAGCTTTTCCAGGAATGCCATTTTTTTTTCCTTTTTCTTTTTCTAAACCCTATGTGGTTGCTGTGTGAATCCCTTTCAAGATTTTCTTACCAATTTTTTCTTTTGCAAGTGATGCTACTTTCAGGTATGGTTTGAATAGAATTGTATTAGAAAGAAAAATTCTAACAGGGTTTTATTTCAGAGCAAAATCAGGCTAATATTCACTTAAAAGTATTAAATAAACCTTTAAACAGTTTTAAAGTTGGACATACAGCATGATATAAACATGGGTCTTTTATTTACCCTTTGGGCCAGTATTACTATAATTCCTGGGTTAATTTTCCTTTTTTTTTTTTTTTTAATATAGTGCATTTTCTTATACCTCAGGAAAGAAGTAAAAACAAAAACCAAAACCAATCATTATCAGTTATTATTTTTTAAAAAATAAACACAACACTTAAAAGAGAAGAACAAAAGCCTGAGCCTGATAAGACACATTGTG